CTCCTTTACAACTTGTAAAAATAAATTATTTTTAACTTACAAAATAAATTTAATTCATTTCTATATTATTTTTCTTCTGTTAAACTAACTTATTAATAAGTTAACCTAGAAGTGACCTAAGTATTTAATAGGCAAACCGCTCCCTCAATTTAATTTTTGGAATCATATCGCAATTCTTTGACATGTGTTGCTTAAGTTTCAAATTGTAAATATTTTAAGGTCACCAACAAAAATCAAGTCACATAGCTATAGCAAGTCAGAGACGACCATCGAGTCTACTTTCCTCATTTATCAGCACAAAATAACAAAAAACAAGTCAATATCAATACCCCATACCATTGAGTGTAAGGAAAAAGGCAGAAGAGAATAAACTGCATGTTTTGCTGAACATGTGCCGGCTCCAAAGATGTTAACTGTGCCAAACAGTGTATAAATTATAAGTACTTCTATGAGATGTGGGACCTTAGTGTTAACTATGAGGCAAGGAGCCAAACACAAACTTATATCAGACATGTGGTAACAACCTAAGCAGCCTCCATTAAACTATATAAATAAAACTTTAGAATGAAAGCATTGCTTTCTCCATAAGCATAAATATAATTTCATCTAGAAGCACTTTGAATCATCCATCATATATATATGACCTCCTTTTCAGCCTTTGGCGCCTGCTCTTCTAGAATTGTTAATTAAACTGTTAAATTTGGATACCTTGTTATAATTTATTCCTATTCATCTAGATGATATCGACACCAATACCGTCAACAACCTCTCTCTCTCTCTCTCTCTCTCTAAATCTCTTATATATATATTGAGAATACTTGAACAGATCAAGACACCCCATAAGCAGCTAGAAAAATATTCTTCACATCAATATTCCCATTCCCTTTTGTTTTTATACATCTTTTAGTGTAAGTATCAATGGCGGCTAAAGAATTTTACTCAACCGAAGAAGCAGGAAACGAAGAAAGCACTTTGCTGCACGACCCATATGAAGAAGAAGAAGCTCTATCTCTTTGTGATCTTCCAATTTATGGTGACTCAGTTTCATCTCAATGGGGTGGTGATCATGATTTCTCCAAAGAGAATGGAAATAATAACAAGGTGGAGGATAATGATGATGATTTCTTCGAGTTCTTCAGTGAAGAATTCACGACCTCATCAACTCGTGACAACATAGTCTTTTGTGGCAAACTCATTCCCTTCAAAGACCCTCCCCGTGTTGAAAGCAAAACTAGTGTTCAAAAAGGTGCTATTTTTCAATGGAAGCCACAGCCATTAGACAAAGCAAAAAGACCCACTTGGAAGAAAGGAGAATTAGAAGAAGCAAAGCGTTCAAAGAGTTTTAGATGTGAGTACACATCGATGGGTAAGGTGTCGCTTGTGAGGAGTGCCACAAAATCTAGATGGTTTTTGTTTATGTTTGGGATGTCAAAGTTGTCCTCTACCACTGAGATGGAACTAAGAGACATTAGAAAAAGACAAAGCCGGAGAGTACCAGCGACCATGTTTCCGGCACCGGAGAGTGGGAAAGAAGTCACCGTCAAGGGGAGGAGGAACTGCAAAGGGATGTGGAAGATTTTTAAGTCAATATCATTTGTGTTGGGCTGCAGTAGTAGTAAGATTGCAAACGACGTCGTAGTAGAGGCTGGTTTAGTGTGATTTTTGAAGTAGATGGATAGATATTAGACAGAGTCTTTGTAGACATCAAAGAAATTAAGAAAGAAAGCAAAATCGATGCTCTTTTGCTTTCATGTGGGTTGTAACAATTTGTGTAAAACCTGATTGAAATACCACTTTTTTTTGGGGTAATTAAGAATTTTGTCTATATATACCCTTAGGTATAAACAAATATTTTACATTGACATTATTAAAAATAAAAGCAAAATTGCTGAGATAAATTAGTATACGACACATATTGAATATTTAGTGGTCCTAGTCATAAAAGGCACCGATACCTACTCAAATCCATTATTACAAAAACGTTAATATACAATAGCATAAATTTTGATTTTTAAATAATAAACGTTTAAATTTAATTTGAACTGGATTGAATAAATATAGTGTTATTTAACTTGGATTAGTCATCAATTCGGTTAAAATATTAGGTTATAGATTACTATTTCAATTCATAAAATGTTTCTAAATTAATTAGAACTAATTTAAGATAACGATGACAATGATAATAATAATAAGATTAAATTATATATTTAATTTTTATAATTTACACATATTTACAAATTAGTCTATATATTTTAAAAAATTATAATTTAATCTTTATATAAATATTTTTCATATAAAAAATACAATATTTATTATATTTAATATATAAAATTTATACTATAGCTTAAAATTTTAGAAGATTTTTATTATAAAATAAATTTTAATTTTTTTATCATAATACAAGTAAGAAATTTTTATTAATTAATTTAAAATTTTCTTAACTGATTTTTTACTATTTTTAGATAAAAAATATATATTAAGGTATACTTATTTTTTTTAATCTTATTATATTGACTCAAAAAAATTAGTATGTCTGGATATTTATTTAAGAGTTTTGTTAATTTCAGTCTTTAGGTTAAGTTTAAGCATCCAAAAATAAAAAAATTTTGTGAAAAAATATACAATTATTATATTGAAATTATAAAAATATAATAAATACTTATATTTCAAATAAAATTTTACTATCAACTTTTATTTAATTATAATATTTTTTTATTATATTTTTATTAATTTATGTATTTAATAAATTATTAAGTTTTATTAATAAATTTATCAGTATTTTAAAAATTTATGATTCTTTTATTTGATGACTATTTTTAATTTCTTTAAACAAATTCACTAAAAATGTTATTTTTAGTTAAAATATTTTTAATTTATATAGTTAATACTTGTTTACAAGTTGGTCCTTACATTTAAAAAGATTTATATTTTAATTTATACGTGAATATTTTATTATGTTTTAATTTTTACTGATACAACTTTATTAACTATATGGATCAAAATGTAACAAAATAGTCATATGCGGATTAAAACACAAATTTTAAAAATATTTAAACTATTTTATAAATAATTATCAACTATAAAGATAAAATGTATAATTTAACCTAATAATAATAATATTATTATACAAAAAAATTATAATTTTTTAAATACAATATTAATATTGTTTTTAATATAATAATTTGACACAACTATTAGCTTTCCGTTTTTTATTTTTCCTTTGAAATTCTAACGATAGTTTATTGATTGCAAAAGCACGTGGAGCTCAAGCAAGATTATTCATATTTTAAAATACAGAAACATCTATTATAAGATAAATATTTCTGAACAAAATTTTCAACATTTGTGCAAGAGAAAGCTTTCAGCAGTTTGTTGCCTCATACGAAAAGAAGAAAGCTAATGTCTTACATGGTGCCAGAGACAGTGGTGTTAGGTTGCAGAGGAGGAGGTTCAAGTAGCTTTTTAATGATGGAGGCTCATCTAACATTTGAAGGTTGACTTGTTCGATTTTCAGGCCATTTTCGTTAAATTGGCTGATTTATACCTGTTTATATTGATTTAAATGCATATCCAATCTTTTCTGTTCACTAAACTGATCATTGGTCTTTTAACACATTTATAAATTTTATATTTAAAAGATCTCAAAGTTAGTTTAATTAATAAAAATACATTTTACTAGTAATTTACTACATTGAAAATTTTTGAAAGAAATCAAAATGTCATTTAATTGGATAACTAATTAAAAATATATTGTTTGCATTTAATATAAAAGTTTGGATTTTGATTAAAATAAAAAAAAATAACTTTTTCTCTTTATTTTTTCATTTTTTGTATTATTTCTATGATACTCGTAAATTTAAGAGAATATTTTATATTTTCTTTAGATCAATAAGTATAATTCATTTGATATTTTAAAGATAAAAAAGTATTAATATTTTTTTAATTAAATTATTAACTCTATTATTTATCACTATAAAACTAACCCTATTATTTATTACTGTAAGTGAAAATTATTTTATTTGTGAGAGAAAATAGCAAATATTTTCATTTATAAGGGATACCTTAATTTTACTTTTTTCTTTTTTCGTCATTTTCTTTGAAATATGAAAAAATAAACTAATTTATAAATAGAAATTCTGTGATAACAAATGAGAAAGACCCATAATTATGTAAAATGGGAAATATACATAAAGGTCATCTCAATGATGTCGTTATAAATGAAGACGACTCAAATATGTTATATAATTATAGAATTAAAAAAAACGAAAATACATAAAAAAAATATTTTAGGAGTAAAATGGATTTTTTTTCTTGTGTATATAATATTTAACTGTGACACATGTTGACAGCTAGGAATATCATTCTTCCCAAAACTTAGGATGGATCAATCCCATCAATGCTTCTATGTCTGATGAAGCCATTGCTTGACTTGCCGAATGTTGATTCCATCTCCTGAATTGTTTATTTTGATTACGTTTCTGGTAATTAGAACTAGAAGAATTAGCCGGCTTAGTTGGAGTATTGAATCATTTCTAATCAAATATGTTTAACTGAATTTATAAATACGAGCCAATTATAGATAAAATATAAACATAGTTATATTTAGAAAATTGACCGATGTTTTTAAAACAAAAAAAGTTAATCTTGTTTAATTTTTTTTTTAATAGGTATAAACCCAAGTTTTATTTAATTCAGACCATCATTGTAGTAATGTCAAGTTGATAATTCTACCAATAAGGATTATAGGTTAAGAAAGTAACTGCTTATTATTCAGGAAAATAGGAATATATAAGAACAATGTCAGTTGAATTTTCTTTATATTCTTTTTGAAAAAGTAAAAGCCGACTTGAAACCATGAAAAACTGAAAAAGACAACCAAGGAAAGGAGTATGTTATTTTGTTACATGTTTTTTTGTTTTTTTGGGTACGTTGTTATTTATTAACGTTAATTAGGAGTCACAACTCACAAACTTATCCTAATACCCAATCCTTGCTGTAATAGATTCATTCGTTGAAGTTTTCTCCTTCCCTCCTCCTTTTTGTTCCTTCTTTCTCTTCACAGGGCATGTGCTTTCATTTGCAGAGAGATTTGTGACTCTCATGCAAAGGTGTTGAAATTTGAAAAACTTCAATTTTGTTCTTTTTCTCATGCATTTTGTCCCTTGTTATCCTTGTTTTCTACTTTTCTCATATGGGTTTAATGGTTTTTGGAATTATGTCATCTGGGTTCTTTTCATTGTTCAGCGCATGGCTAAATTTGTAACTTACAAAATTTTTTGGTAAATTTACCATGAAATTAGGCGTTCAAAATTGGTGCTTTTGACCATATTTTGATGGCCTTTTGAATTCTGTTTTCCTGGTTCTTCCTCGTTGATCATTCCGTTGCATTGATGAAACGGATGAAAGTCCTTGCATTTTCTTTGTTGAAGGGGTGTTTTTTCTATTTAGTTTCTGTTTCTAGTCCTTTTCATTAATGGGACTGAGCATATTCAACATTTATTGAAAATGAATCATACATCTGCTTCCAACATTTATGATCTCCATTTTGAGGTTCTATTGAAATTTCCATGGCTCTTCCCTTTTGTTTTCATTAACGATTAGCTAGGAATTCAACGTGCATGAAATTGAAACAAGAGGTTTTTAGCGGTGCTACATTTATTTACATTTAACACAACTTTTGTTCATCTATTCTCTTTTTGATTTCCCTTTTATGAACTATTCATTTTATGTTGTTTGGCTTGTCATTGATTCAATTTTGTTTTTTTTTTTTCAATGAAGATAAAGGAACTACACATGGGGAGGAAAGGGGGTTGGTTTTCTGCAGTGAAGAGAATTTTCAGTTCTGATTCCAAAAAGGATCAGGTTTGTGAAAACATTCGTTACATTACCACTGACATGAATATAAGAAAATAATATCATGAAATGGGAGAAGATTCTGATCCAAAACAATTTATTTTTGATCATATAAAACAGAAACCTCATCATCATAAGTCGAAGATAGCATGTTTTGGGCATCATCATCCTGAGGATCTAGAAAGGGAAACTGAAGGAGTAGCAATTGTTGCTCCCTCACTTCCACCTAGAAAAGACAAAAAACCAAGAAGTGAGGCAGAGAACGAACAGAGCAAGCAAGCTTTTTCTTTGGTTTTGGCAACTGCTGTGGCTGCAGGAGCTGCCGTTGCTGCTGCTCAAGCTGCTGCAGAGGTTGCTCGTCTCACAAGTGTGCCTCGTTACCCAGGAAAAACCGATGAAGAAGTAGCAGCCATTAAGATTCAGAAGACATATCGTGGACACTTGGTATGTGGACTTGTTATCCTATTTATTTGGGACAGTGCTATACCAACAACTAACTACACACAAAATGTTCATACCCCACTTTGTGACAAATATCTATGGGTCCCTGGTCGTACTTTATGAATTTCATTTAGTTGTTATAAGGGTGTGTCTATTGCCTTTTCTATTTAAGTGATATTTGTCCGAAATATTTTCTTTTCCTTTTTGATAATTATATTAATGATAGAATTATTTTTGAAAAAAATAACTTAAATATGATTGAATATAGATACGTTTTTATGATAAACTTACAACTTATAAATGTATGACAACTCATCAAGAAAACTGATATTTGGAAGAAAAAAAAAAGTGGAGTTTTTGCATATAATTGTTTAAGAACTAAAGATACATTAAAATAGGAATAAAGAAGAAAGTAAACTAAAATCGTCGAGTTATTTAAATCTTATCTTAAAAATTTTAATTAGTCTATAGTCACTTTACTCAGACAAGAATGACATGACATGTTCACAGTTGATATAGTATAGGAATATGTGCTATAATTATATTGGAATTCAAAAACATTCAATTTCTTTTACCGTGGAGAGAATTTGTATCTGTACAGCAACAACTTTCGGTGAATTTTTATGTATGAGAGTTGTTGTTATGTGGCTTTTCAGGCAAGAAGAAAATTGCGTGGCTTGAGAGGATTGGCGAGGTTGAAAACATTGGTGCAAGGACAATCTGTTCAACGGCAAGCAGCTACCACCTTACAATGCATGCAAACTCTTTCACGATTGCAGGCTCAGGTTCGTGCACGGAGGATCAAAATGTCTGAGCAGAATCAGGCTCTTCAAAGGCAAATGCAGCAGAAACGTGAAAAGGAACTGCAAAATGCCGTAAGCACTTTATGAGTAGATATCTATTATGATGCAACTTATGTTGAAAATTGAAATGCATGTTATAGGGGAGGACTTTAGTGAGTTCCGCTGATATAGTTGTGATTTGCCTCATAGAAAATTTGTCCTTTATAGTAATGTCTTTGTTTTATTGCTTGCAAATGCGTGTTTCACCTTGTATAGTTTTGAGCTAGTTTATGACAAATTGTCAATTTTTTTTTCTTTTTTCTTTGTTCTACATTTTTTGTTTATCATCCCCTTCAAAACTTGTGATAATATTAACTTTTTTACACTTCTTTTAAAATGTGTACTAAATTGGCAACTACTTTTGCATCAGGCTGGAGAAAAATGGGATGATAGCTCGCATTCAAAGGAGCAAATTGAAGCAAAGTTGTTGAACAGGCAAGTAGCTGCTATGAGAAGAGAGAGGGCCTTGGCCTATGCATCAACACATCAGGTAGAAGACTGCCTCTTCTTTATTTACTTTTTATTTTAGTAGAACAAGAGAAACAAGTTCTGAACTCAGAAGCATTTTAAAGTCCTGTATCTAAGCCCATGCACAAAGAAGTCCAGTTTGATTTTCCTACAGTAGTAGATTGCTTCATGTGTGTTTACAATCTCATCCCCATCATTTTTTATACAGAAATAATATGTAATTTAGAACCTTTATGGTTTTTCTTTTTCAATCCAATAGTTTGCCAACATATGATTGATATTGTGATTCTTCAATGAACAATTATCAAAGATTCTAAAGCTTAGGTGCTTATGTCAGGCCTACATGATATACATTTGTACTGTTCCCAACCTTAGTTTGGATAGAATTTTGAAGTGTAAATAAACTCCTGCACTTTCCGAGTCATTAATGTAGAATTTTGTTGAAAATGAAAACTGGAAAATAGACTGAAAATGCAGTAAAATTGCATTAAATTGGTCTCTGCATGTACATTTTTTTTCATGTGGGTAGATTCCATATTTCTAATAATATAAATGATTTTTTCTATTGATAATCAATTGCTTTCTCCAACAGCAAACGTGGAAGAACACTTCAAAACCTTCAAATGCCACATTTATGGATCCAAACAATCCCCACTGGGGCTGGAACTGGCTAGAGCGATGGATGGCTGCAAGGCCATGGGAGGGACAAAACACTATGTATCACAATGGTCATGCACCTACAAAGAGTGCTGCAAAACACACCATGTCAGTTAGTGAAATCACAAAATTGTACTCTCTCCGTGATCAGAACCATGATGTTAAGAACTCCCCTACAAGCCAAAAAGCAAGCCGTCCTCGCAGCCACATTTCCCCTTCAACACTATCTTCAAAGGCCTCATCAACTAATGGAACAAAGGAAAAGGCTGATTCAAGTCCAAAGGGTGGTTCATGGGGTGGTGATGATGATCCAAAAAGCATGTTTAGCAAAGTCTCAGAAAACAATCGCAGGCATAGCATTGCAGTTCCAGTAAAAGATAATGAGAGCCTTGCAAGCTCATCACCTGCTTTAACAACTCACACAAACACACCGCCACCCACAAAGGTTGTAACAAAAGCCAAGTCCAAAGTGCGTAGTCTATCATCTGGCGTACATAGAAATGGAACACCTGAAAAGGAATCTAACATTCCTTCAAAAAAGAGGCTTTCTTTCTCAGCTTCTCCAGCTGCTTCAAGAAGGCATTCTGTTCCACCTAAGGTTGGAAATTTGGGTTCCAATAAGAATGTTGGTACCATCCCTGAGGAGAAAATGAAAATGAAAAATGGAGGGAGCAGATAGAGATCCATCATGCATGCCAATTGGTGCACTTAGTATAGAATTATGAATGAAGAAGAATCAGATAAATGGTTGTATCATCTTTGATAGTTGTTTCTATCAACTTTTTCTTCAGAAGCCATGTTGTTGGTGCCATGGGGAGTACGATAGAATAAAAATTGGCCGATCAAGCAATCATTTATTACCACTGTTGTCTTCATAATCAATGTAGACAGCTTTGTCTTTTACTTCTTAACTGCATGATTCAAACAATTGATATACTAGTTTTATAACTATATTTTTAATTTTTTTTAAATATAAAATCTTGTACTTCATTATTTTATTTGTTGAGTGTTTATCAGTTATCATTGTAAAGTGTTTTCTAGACCATGGTTCAGGTTGCGACCATGCTAAATCTATTGTCTTTGGAATCTGACACCGGATATGTGATTTGGGACATATCCATAAAATTACGTTTACTTTATCTTTCTAATAATTTTCTTATTATTATATAAAAATATAAAATATATTAAATACTTTCTTTATTTAATAATTAAAAGAATTTATAAAATAAAAAGATAAAAAAATTCAAAATTATTCAATCATAATATGCACTTACTCGTACATTAATTAAACACTCTTTAACCCCTATTTTATTATTGATTAAAATTTATTAAAAATTACAAAAATTAAAAAAAAATTATTTTTAAATTAATAAATTTTAGTTAATAATTAAAAATGTATTAAAAAGTTAAAGCATATCTATTAGACATTATATAAATAAATTTTCGTTAATTTTTAAACAAGACCTTTTATGTTTTGGGAAAATACACCTTAAATCATGTTAAATGAAAATATAATTACATGTGATTTTTACTCTTAAGTTTTTTAAAAATAATTTAGTCATATATTTTGTTATTATTATTGCATAAAATGTCTAATTGCTTTGATAATAAAAAAATATAAAATAATTTAAAAGTATTAAAAAAGTGACAACAGTAGCATTTTCCTTTTAGAAATGTAGAGATGTGTCACATTCAAATAAAGAAGTTAGGGGAGACAAATTTCAATTTTTTGTTGTCAATTAATTATTAGATAACCGTTTGATGGATCCACTCGAAGCCATCCACGCTTCATTCGAATCTTTAGATAACTATTATACGCCAGTTTGACGCAATTTATTTATTTATTTTCTTGTTTCATCTTGTTATTTATGTTTATTTCGCATTATGTTAAATTAAAAATAACATATGTGCTAATAAAAAAATAATACAAATAGCATACACACCTTTTTTTAATCTAAATTTCAGTGATTAGAGATTAATTTTTATTTCAAATAATTTGTTAAGGAGATAGACCTGTTTAAAGAATAAACTCATATTTTTCATGCGTCTTTTTAATTCTACAATACTAGAATTTTTCAATGATACATAATTTTTTTAAGCTAATTCAATTATAATATATGATTTTTGTGAATTAATTATTTTCTGTATATTAATATTTTTAACTGGGTCAAATTTAGAAAATACTTGTTTGTAACATTGGACTTCTTTTCTTTTTTTTTCAATCCCAATTAATTTTTTTATTCTAGTCACAGTTTTCTAACACTATGTGCGTGATCGAATTATGGAATTTTCTTACTGCTGAGAATATCGATCTATATATTATAAATAAATAAAATGATCTAATAATAATATATAAATTATATTTTTATTAATTTTATTTTAAATTAGAAAAGAAAATTATTACTTAACTTTCTTTTATTATTTAATATAAATTTGTAAATTTTTCAATAATCTTTATGTTTATATTTATAATTTTTTATTAACTTATATAATATAAGCTTTTAATTTTTTTTACAAATGCCATTATTTATATAAAATTCATAATATTTAATATATTATCTTTATTATTTTAAAATAAAATATTTTTAAAAAATAACATTTTAAAAAATTTATCATACATTAGATATTCATTTTAAAATAAAATATCTATGGATGACGGTGAGATGGGGCTGTCAAATCAAAACAAACGAGAGAGGAAGAGAACCATGCAAAATGGGGAAAGTGCATTATACATTTGTTCACGTTGTTTTTTTAGTTTTTGGGAAGTGAGATTCGTTCATGTTTGTTTTAGTGTTAAAAAGCATTTTACAGACAATTTTTAAAAAATGCATCATTTTAATATAAATCAATAGTTCAAATTAATCCAAATATACACATCCATTATATTTAATAATTTGATTTTTCACAATTTTAAAATAAAATAATCCAAAGAAAAATCGATATTTATATTTTTAATTCAGAGTATTCGAAAAATCTGCACCCATAGAGAAGCTTAGAAGATGTGTGGTTAGATGCAGAAGAGAAACAGTGGATGAAAACTAGAATGCATGATGTTTATTGGCAAATATATAACCACTTGGCATGAAGCAGACCATTCAAAAACATTCTCAACCTAATGTCTAATATAATAATATATTTGGAGCAAATTGTCCATGCAAGTTGTGCTCTTTTACAATAAGCATTTAGTGTGTGTGCGTGTCTTTTCCTTTGTTGTTTTGTACATGTTCATTCCTTCCATGGAAAGAAAAAAAGAAGCTTGAGTTGAATTGAATGAACAATGGTTACCATTTCATTTCAATGTTATCTGATTATTTAATAATAGCATCGTCAACCACTAAGAAGGGTAATCAAATCACCCTGCACTGTGGTGCCAACTCTGGTGTCCCCAATCCTCAGTCCTACATGCCCTTACGTCAGCTATTATCCATTCACATTCATTATCCAAAACAATAAATTTTTCTTTGAAATTACCATCCCTAGAAGACCTTTGTATAATAATAATTTTCTTAACTCTAATTTAAATATATAAAAGTAATGTTTTTTTTTGTTAAAATTATATTAGTTACACTAAAATTATAAAAATGTGATAAATATTTTTCTAATAAAACTTAATTTAGAAATTAATGGTAATATATTTTTTTTATTTAATTACACAAACATTTATAACAATAATATTTTTGGAATTATTTATTATTACATATAAATTCTTAAAAATGACACTGTACATAATGTTGGGTATAATTATATTTGATTTTTTCTTACTTTTTATTTTTTATACACATATGTGAAAAAATACTCTAAAATTAAAGAAATAATATTTACTTGTCTTAATTTTATATTAATTTTTCTTACACATACATAACATAGTACTGAGTTAATTAACATTAGCATAATACACAATTACTTAACGTAGTACTGAAAATATTGCATTTAATATCAAATATAAGAAAAATCTGGAGAAGATGGGTTGTACAGAACATGTCATATTATAAATAAATTTATGCGTACAAGGTATCGGGGCATTTATGATAAGGTATTTTTATTTTTCTTGGGTTCACTGGTTTTAAATTTTCTCAGAAAAAAATAAATAGGCCTTTTTCAGTTTTCTGTGTAATTTCTTTCTGCTTTTTTGGCACTTATGGTGCTGTTCTTCCTCTTCCTCTGCCACCCATATCGGTCTCCAACACAAGCTCTGTCCAAAACCACCGCTTGATTCTCTTTGTCTCTTTCTAATCTTATCCAAATTCTTCCCTTCAATTCGCTTCACTCTTTGCTTTCTTAACCGTACCATACAAAAAGCTATCTTTTTTTTTTTTTTGCACCAAAATGGGGCTAATCTTGAACCAAAATGTGCAATTTTCATCGGTTCCGTGTTTTCAAAAATGGATTCTTTTCCATCTATGAGCTCAATTGGGTTATCCGTTTCAATCCCATTTTCGTAACAGTTTGATATATTCTCTGTCGATTTTTATTTATTTTTTGCATTTTCTTTCTGATAAGGAAATAGAAGAAAAAAAAAAGACTGTGACTTTAAGGGTTGATCAGAAATGGTGTCAGCGAACGACCCAGTTGAGTCTTTCTTCCATTCCATTCAAGTTGTGAAGGAATCGCTGTCGCCACTTGAAGTGGGTATTCGTAAGGCGGCGAAGGATCTCGAGCATTGTTTGGCAGGGTCAAAGAACAAGGTCAATGGTGCTTGTTTAATTGCCCAAGTGAGGGAAGGTGGTGAATTTCAGATCTGTGATGTGAAGAAGAAGAAAGGGTTGTCAATGAAGGTTCCTTTGAAGGCTTTCTTGGGTATGTTTTCACAGAATTCAGGGAATGGTAACAGTAGAGCTCAGGTGGGTAAGGAAAATGATTCTTCTTGCACCAATTGCTTGCAGTTTGCTGTGACTTGGTCTTTGTTGGTTAATGGGTTTCTTCAGTCTCTGCCACTTCCTTTCAAATCTGGGAGGAAGAGGTGTCCGAAAGTGGGTGATGAAGATAAGTTGTGTTCTTGCATGAAGCCCACTGTTTCATCATGTGAAGTGAAGCAGAATGAATCCAAGGGGGTTAGAACATTTAGGGAAAAGGGTGTGAAGAGGAAGGATGGAAAACATGTTTCACTTGAGTGCCTTATAGGGTTTATCTTTGATCAGCTATCTCAAACTATTCAGAGTCTTGATCATGGGGTGCAAGAAAATGACCTTGACTGTGGGAATACCTGTCTACCCCAACCTTCTTTTTCTAATCTTGGTCATGTGAATGCTCTCACAGGTTTCTTGGAGGGTCACAAAGTGGATGTTAATGGTTTCTTGGGGAATTTAAGATTTGCAAAGGTTGGGGGTGTGCCATCAAGTGTGCCTGGAGAAGAAAGCCCTTCAACAAATGGAGAGGGAGATAACAATAATGGTAGTAATAGTAATAATGGTAATGATGAAAACAAGGATGAAACTGGAGGAATTTCGGCACAGAAGGTTGCCAATAACATTTTCAGTTTCCCTCTCTCAAATGTGGAGCGTCTAAAGTCTACACTGTCCACTGTTTCATTCACAGAATTGATTGAACTGCTACCACAGCTGGGGAGAACCACTAAAGAGCATCCTGATAAGAAGAAACTTATCTCAGTACAAGATTTCTTTAGATACACAGAGGCTGAAGGTATGACCTGTTGCATAGGGTAGACACAACATTAAATTTGCTTGCATATAGCAGAAAGACTGTTTCCATGACTAGAACTTATAACTTATAAACACCAGGTCAAATGGCAATGATCTTATCATTAGGTATGATATTGTACAGCATCTCATGTTCTACCATCTCAAAAACACATCGAAGTTGAGGGATGGAGTTATGAAATGTTGTTTACACTCAACGGTAATCAAATATAAAGAGTTTGGATTAATATTATCAAATTTATTTGTTAACTGACTACTAGCATCTACAAGAACTATGGTCTCATCGAAGCATTTTAAAATTCAAGTATATATATATATATGTATGTCTGTATGTATTTCTGTTATGTCCATTTAGGACTCCAAGGGTTCCTGTGTCTTCTTTTGCATCTTTTCACATATCATGTTTCTAGTTCTACATCTGACTCTAAATAATGACATTTAGTGCATGAGCTTATACTTTATATAAACTGGTAATATGCTGACTGTTGAGTTACTTCGCTACTCATTTTGTATCAGTCAAAAGTATCCTTAAAAGGTGGCATAGTTTTCTGGAAAGAAAAAAAGAAACCGTTCATGAGATCAAAATAAAAGGAAACAATCATTACAAGAAAAGGGAAAATTTGTCGACTTTACCTACCTTTCAGTTTGTTTGTTTTGGAGTGAGAGTTCCTGTAATTTTAACTGCTTTCAATGAATATTTGGCAAGCTTCTGGAGTTCTGGGCAGAACTTGTGAGTTAGGATAGAAGTGTGAAAGGATTAAGAAACGGAAACAATCATTACAAGAAAAGGGAAAAATTGTCAACTTTACCTACCTTTCAGTTTATTTGTTTTGGAGTGAGAGTTCCCGTAATTTTAACTGCTTTCAATGAATATTTGGCAAGCTTCTGGAGTTCTGGGAAGAACTTGTGAGTTAGGATAGAAGTGTGAAAGGATTAAGAAACGGAAACAATCACTACAAGAAAAGGGAAAATTTGTCGACTTTACTACCTTTGAGTTTGTTTGTTTCGGAGTGAGAGTTCCTGTAATTTTAACTGCTTTCAATGAATATTTGGCAAGCTTCTGGAGTTCTGGGAAGAACCTGTGAGTTAGGATAAGTGTGAAAAGATTAAGAAAAGGGGGGCCTATTACTGATTATATTAGTGTTGCTTTGTACATTAGACAGTCTTGCAATTTAAGTTTGCATTTTGTTTATTTAGCACAATGTCTAGCACAAAGCAGTGACAATGATTTAGTGTTTCACCATTTTATGCTTGTAATGGAAATTGAATACTATTCTTTATTTGCAGCTTTTTATAATACTCATTTTTTGAACAACACTTTTGGGCACTGACTCCCACACGCAAAAGCCATAATTGACCAGTGTACTCTTAACATAATAAAAAGGAATATCTTCCTTTTGGAAACTTCTGAAATATTTTATCCTCCTATGTTGAGATGTAGATAATCATAATGCTTTCTTCTAATCTTCGGAGGGTTTATAGAGGTCCCATGGCTTAATGTCACATCAGTGAACTACTCCACAGTCCATTCCTTAAACGTTTTTGTTGGTCTTGACACTCGACAGTTTTCAAACTGATGTAACCTTTTACGTATTTTACCCTAATTCTTGGCATTTTCAAAGATTTTTGTTGTCTTAGCATAGCAAACATTTCAAGCAAAAAAAAAAAAAAAAAAAAAACAAAGGAAACAACAAATATTATTATATTTTTCCCTTGATTAGCGTTTGGGTATTGTGGCAACCAGTCCCGGCATGCATGATCAAAATTGTAATGAGTAATCATGTATGACTATATAATCAAAGAATATATTCTATGCAATAAACAACTTTTATTACTAATGGATACAGGGTACATATTTTCTATATGAAGTTGGGATCTTTTAGCAGTTTTTGTGCCCTGGTCTCTTACCTACCTACTTGAAATATATACTATACTTGATACTAGTTGTAAGATATTTTCCTGAAATCTTTGCTAGCAATATTTAGTTTGTATTTCTTATTTCATGTTAATGTTCTTTTCTTTTTGGTGTTTTCTGGAATGGCAAATTCATACTTCTTTTCACTTTCATTATCATACAGGGAGGAGGTTCTTTGAGGAGTTGGATAGAGATGGTGACGGCCAAGTAACTCTGGAAGATCTAGAAATTGCAATGAGAAAGAGAAAGCTGCCTCGTAGATATGCTAAAGAATTTATGAGCCGTGCTAGAAGTCACTTGTTTTCTAGGTCTTTTGGTTGGAAGCAGTTCTTATCACTAATGGAACAGAAGGAACCAACAATTCTTCGTGCATATACTTCTCTGTGTCTAACCAAGTCAGGGACACTGAAGAAGAGTGAAATATTGGAATCACTAAAGAATGCAGGACTCCCTGCAAATGAAGACAATGCTATTGCTATGATGCGGTTTCTGAATGCAGACACAGAAGAATCTATTTCATATGGACATTTCCGCAATTTCATGCTTCTACTTCCCTCTGATCGTCTTCGAGAGGATCCTAGGTAAGACAAATATGATCATTTTTTGGAAGGTGAGGGGGAGGGTGGTTGGGGGAATCAAGAAGTGCCATTACTATATTGTCAAAATGTTGTGCTTATGCCTGCAATTACTTATCTATTCAGAGTAGAGAATGACATTACTAATTTTTAATGATAGGAAAAAAGTTTAAATATAGAGAAAAGAGGGGAGGGAACGTTAAGCAGCCACAAGCAAAACAAACCGTGGAGAAGCCATAAATTGGAACATCACAAGGCACCATTTGAGATGTTTGCAATTGAAATGCCACAATTTTGATTAACCAGATTTTTGAAAATTTGGTTTTTGACCGAGATCAATAGTGTCGTGTAATCCATGTAGCTGACCTCACTTAGTGAAATAAAGCTTGGTTGTTGTTGTAGTATTGATTGATGGGCAATGCTCAATGATATACAAATATATAGATACAAGATACATAGGAAAAAGGAAAGAAATCCTTAAATCTAAGAGACACGATTCAAATCTTCTCGGAAATGTAGGAAGAATCAAAGAATATCAATGAAAGATTCCAACCAAATTGATCAAAAAATTGCATAAACTGTACATTGTCACAAAGTTTTGGCCTCCTTGCTATTACCAAAACCTTTATATTAAGGAACAATAAACGGTTGGTTGGACTTGCCAAGAGCTCATCCAAGTGGAAAGTGGGTACATATTTTGGCTGACGTGTTTGATTTGTCTAGAATGATTGTCAATGTATAAATTGTTGTGGTTTATTGTACTCCCGTTTTTTTCCCTATTCAAATTTAAGGCAAATGTTCAGGAAAATTGAAATTATGCAGCAAGATTAGACTTTACAGAATTTTTGCATCAATAATTAAGATTCATCCTCCATATTAAATTATTTAGTACTTTAATTACCTCAAGGACTCAACTTCAACCAGCAGTCAATGATTAAGATTCATCCTCTATATGGATAACATTATGATTATACATTCAGGAGTATTTGGTTTGAAGCTGCAACTGTTGTTGCCGTTCCACCACCTGTTGAAATTCCTGCTGGAAGTGTTCTAAGATCTGCATTGGCAGGTGGCCTTTCTTGTGCCCTGTCTTGTGCATTACTTCATCCAGTTGATTCAATTAAGGTAAGTTTTTGAACTTACTGATTTCTTTGTTACTGGTGATTTTACCCCTTAGTGACTTTATCTGCTTTTACTGCACATAATTTCATATTCATCTCTTAGCCATTTGATTTTTGGCTCCTTTTCAAGGCCTCATCATTGTCTTATTTGATATGTTAGACTCGAGTGCAAGCATCAACCATGTCCTTCCCTGAAATAATTTCTAAGCTGCCAGAGATTGGAACGCGGGGTTTATACAGGGGATCAATCCCTGCGATTCTTGGACAGTTTTCAAGGTTGTTTATTTTATCTCTCTTCATTTCTTCCCTCTCATTTTCCCATGTATTGAAGCCAATAAGCAGATAATATTTATTTTCCTTCTAGCTTATGGTAGCTTTTGATAATGCAGCCATGGCTTGCGAACTGGGATATTTGAAGCGAGTAAATTGGTGTTGATAAATATTGCTCCAACACTGCCAGAACTCCAGGTAATTTGTAAATCCTATTTGCTGTTATGTGTGGCTACTCCTGTTTATGTTTTCCTTTTTCTTTCGTTTTTCTTGTATGTTGTTTTGACTGAATTGCCTCATGTCCCATACATTTAGTTAATTGTACCCACGACCTTGTTTTGTTCCATAAGATCAGTCTTTCAGGTTTTCTACAATGTATAATTAGGTACTAAATGAAGTTGTTGACTTGTTGCATTACTGACAAAAGTGGTTGAGAACATAGCTAAACTACTGCAGTAAATTTTCTTGTGCTCTTAGAATCATGTCAAGCACGGGAGCTTATCTGCTGTCCTACTTACCATAAGTAGAAACAAGAAAAAAGCTATTATTCTGTGAATCTGTGATAAGTGAATAATTCACTAAGCTAAATTATTTGTTTACTTGCCTTTATTGAAAGGGTTTTGCAAATTTGTTACCCTTACTGAGATATGTCAAGTGATTAGAATTATTTAAAGAGAATGAAAGGTTAATAAATGATTCTTAATCTGAGGGCACTAGTTAAAACCGTCCCTATTAAAATGATTCAAATGCTTTAAATTGAGGTGTTCATAGCTAATAATTAATATATTTCAAATACTGTTTTGTATTTTTTAATATCAAAGAGGTTTATGCACTCTGATTGATCTTAGAAAGTGAATTTTAACATTAGGTGGTTGATAATAAGCACATTTTGTTGTTTAATAGGGTCTGATTTATTGTACTTTTCTATAATCTATAAGCTTCACATATTAGCATTCTTGTAGGTACAATCTGTGGCATCATTCTGTAGCACGTTTTTGGGAACGGCTGTGCGGATCCCCTGTGAGGTGTTGAAGCAGAGGTTACAGGCTGGTCTCTTTGACAACGTGGGTGAGGCTTTGGTTGGGACATGGCAGCAGGATGGTCTTAGGGGTTTCTTTCGTGGAACTGGAGCTACCCTTTGTCGTGAGGTTCCATTTTATGTTGCTGGCATGGGGCTTTACGCTGAATCTAAAAAGGTGTGTAGTTTCCATTATCCAGCATGCTTCTTGGTCTTCAGTTTGTCAATGAAATTTACTTTGTCGTACATGCATTCTAAAATTGAAACTTAAGTAGGATTATATAGCACATGGCTATTGTTGAAAGCAAAAACTTAGCATCAAATTTTCAAATTGGGTTAACATCAAATGAGTTGAAATACAACTTAAACCATGGGATATTACTCTCTAAAATTATGTAGTGACAAATGCATTTTGAACTGATGCACTGATATTGATGTGTAAAACATACACCACAATAGACAGGGAATAACAACACTCATAAACCAAAGTTTTAATAATACAATTGCTGTTGGCTTTTGATTTTAGGTTGCCCAAAAACTACTAGGGCGGGAGCTAGAGGCCTGGGAAACAATTGCTGTTGGAGCATTATCTGGTGGCTTGGCGGCAGTTGTCACGACGCCATTCGATGTCATGAAAACTAGAATGATGACAGCGCAGGGTCGTACTGTGTCGATGACCTTGGTAGCCTTCTCTATACTTCGCCATGAGGGACCCCTTGGCTTGTTCAAAGGAGCAGTGCCCAGGTTCTTTTGGATTGCTCCTCTTGGTGCTATGAACTTTGCAGGTTATGAGTTAGCAAAGAAGGCCATGAATAAAAGTGAGGAGGCCAAAGCAGGCTCAGAGTAATTCCTTGGATTGTGTCATATAACAGCCAATTGTCTGGTGAAATTTTGGAGCTTATTGCAGCAATCGATGGAGTAAGGCCATTGATTCTGCTCTGAAATACACATTTTGTTTCCTTTGTTCATTCTACTTAATGACTTTGCCCCTTGTAGCAGCAGAATTTTTTTTAGAGAAATCGTCATATATACTTGAAAACTGAAAAGGTTTAATTTATTTCTTCATCCATTGTACAGATTTTGGTCTTTGTATCTTTCAGCTCTCTTCCTTTGGTGTTCTTGGTTCATTTTGTCATCCCATTTTGAGTTTGATTTGATGTCTTCATTTATTTGGTTTAAAGGGTTCTGTTTATATGTAATGAGATAAAATATATTATAACAATCTTTTTGTAAATTTATGAAAAAATATTATTTTATAATTCAGTATCGCATATTCATAAAAAGAGGAGATATATCTCTAAGTCTAAGTTTTAGAAATAATAGAAATTTTGAATTTAAAATTTGATTTTTGATCAACTTTGATGACTTTATTTAGGGAGATAAGACTGTGTTGTTAATGGTGTTTTTTGTATTTAAAATTCAAGAAAGATTAGATTGATTTTATTTTATTTTTCTTATTTAACGGGACAAAAGTCTAGTAACACAGCAGAAAGAAAACATTTTTTGTCATCATCACATTGTTATATTATATTACTTTACCATGCAATATATTGTGTGATTTATTAAACTTAGCTTTTAAAGTTGAAGATATACAGCTAATAATAATAAAATTTTATTAGAAAGAGAAATATTTATTATATTTTTATAATTTTAATATAATGACTATATTTTTTTTTATAAAATTTTATATTTGTAAATGTTTAAACTCAATTATAAAGATTAAAGTTAACAAAGCTCATATATTATATAACATAAAATAATAAATAATATTACTTTGTCCATAATAAAAATAAACAAACTAAATTTCATAATAAAAATATTTTATTACACATTATAATTTTTTTGTTATCTTATTACTTTATTTTTTTTCTATATATAAATATTACTTTATTAATATCCAGTGTTGTAAATTATGTATATTATTTCATTTTATTATTTATATAAAGTTAAAACACATTACGGAATGATCTTTTTTTTTTTATCAAAATATATACACGTGATTCATTTTTTAAAATTTATTTGTATATTTTAACATTTTTATTATAATAAAAGTAATTATTTGATTTTCATATTTTGAATTTTGTAAAGTTATAATTAAAGAATAAAAAAAAATTATGAGTTTGAATGTAGATTATTTGAAAAGGATACTGGTATCTTTAAGTAGTTTTGAAAAACTTTTCAAGAAAATAATATAACAATTTCTTAAAACCTAACTTAAATGATAGATTTTTTATTAGTAAATTATGAAAGTGTTGTAACATTTACCATTAAAAAATTGTGCAACGCTTAATTGTATTTAGATTCTCCAATTTTTGTACTTCTTCGATTTTAATTTCCTCAGCTCTCGTATTTTTTCAATTAAACAAAATTTCTCATACAGAGGTTGTCTTTCAATTTTTTTGAAGGCCGAAAAGGTACTTGGCGACTTGCTTGGTCGGAGCTTCGTTACGGGAAGCTGTGTTTCAAACATTCAGCTGAGTTGCGTGTATTGTCCTTCAACTTGCTTATAAAGCACTGGGTTCATACGAGCAACGCTAGAAACCAAGCACTGGATCTCCTCCTTCCTCCTTTCCCTCATTCGCATCGGCCTCCTTTGAGTTTATGATTTTAGGATCAGATGGCGACCTTCTCAGACCTTTGAATTTTGGTTAGTTGCTGTTCTAGTTTCTGCTTCATGATACGACTAACACTGAAGAAAAACTTTAAAAAAACTTTCTTTATCAGGTAAAATAATTTATTAAGGAAGCTGCAAAAAAGCATTTTCTCGAAATTGTGTCTGAACTGAAACCATACGACAGCAGTATGTTGAACAGCCGAGTTTTCAGGATATGTCTAGGGTGATTAACTACAGTACCACAAAAAATTTCAACACTCGACATATAATAACCTTTAAACTGAAAGAGAACCGAGTTACAAAGAAATCAATGTAGTTATTATTATTGAACCAGCAAGGAAAACATCAATTTCTGATGTTTTGCTACACTTCGAAGTTTTGAAAATCAATAGCCCCAGTTATCATTCCTGATCTCATCATCAAACTTCTTCTTCAGCTCAGGATGCTTGGCAAAGTATTCATCTGCCGTCATGGTACTAAGCTTTTTCTGTGAAAATAGATAACAATATGAGAAATTTTAAATTTGTTTAAAACTGAAAAATCCTTCTGGTGATTCTATTACCTTCAACTCTTGTACTTCAGCAATTTCCTTTTCCAAACGCTCGGACTCCTTTAGGGATTTCTCCTCTGCTTCTTGAAGCTCAACCAACTGCAGCCAGGCAACACGAGTATATATCACAATCCGATGTAATGTATTTGATCAAGAGAATTTATACAAAATAAGAATTAAGAATTTGACAAAGGTTCTTACTAGTGTGTCAAATTTAGCTTTATATTGAGGTGTTACTGTGTCAACAAACTTGGGGATCTCTATGCCTGCAAAGAAACCATCACACAAAACATTTAATTTTAAATTAATGGGATGTTAAACAGTAAAACATAACAGGAAATTTTGGATGTTTTAAACACACATACGGTGGAGGCATATCAAGTGAGACCATGAGTAAAGTTAATCTTGATTGTCCATATAAAGTGAACGGTCACGATTAGACTTGCCTCTTAAGCTCTCACCTAAAAGACTCCCCCATATATGTATACACAGAACACAACCCATACACACATGGGGAATTTAGTAAAATCTTAGAAAAAAAGAAATCTTTTGCCGGTTAAAACTTCAGAATTCAAATGCAGGATTCATGACACATTACTAATGATAAAAGGAAACCAGAGTGCAAGGCTGATGTACTGTTTTGCATTAGATACAAGAAATAACTCTGCAGGCTTATATATATATTCTAATTGTGTAAGAAGCAGAAAATTGTGTCAGCAGGATACCATAGTTTGATCACATGATAATAATTCATGTTTGCTCATTAACTCAGCACCATTGGTATTGGTTACCCTTGTATGGAGTTATCAACCAAAAACATCCGGGTGTTGCAGGCTTTGGATGTGTGTCAAGAAAAGATCATGAAATTGTGGGTTTTTTTCAATAAAAGTTCAGGATCTTGTTTGGATACAATGCAGAGGTAGGAAACTTTATCACTTTACTGAAAGTAAGCAAGGATGCCACAAAGTTATCACATGTTGGGCATTATTTGAATTGGCTCTGAATCCTACCTTTATAACTTCTTGAGAAGGTTGTTTTCAAGATGTTGACCCAGCCTTAAGTCCAACTATTTAAGCATCAATGTTGACCCAGCCTTAAGATGATTAATGGATCCAAAATGTTGATGGCATTTTTCCAAAACTTTTTGCAAACTCTAAGTAGCACCAATCACACCCCACAACGTGAGATATGCAAGTCTGGTGCTTCTAACGGTTTCCGTGTGTGCACGTTGGATTTGGAGCAATCATGGGCTATAACAATTCTTAGTTGTTGATGACAATTCTCAGTTGGATATATGCATCCCAATGCTCAAGGTTTCTTTGTGTGTGATGATCAAGTTCCATTTTATATACATGTAAAATTGTTTACCTTGAGTTAAACAAGAATATTCTGTTAGATTCTTTAACACTTAGCTTAACTAGAGAGGATCGGGTGGAGTGTAGATTTTAGATGAGAATGGAGTTTAGTGTATTGTTGGCAAACCGTGAGGGGGGTGAGTGTTATTTACCCATTTTGGGAATATCAATTTTGGAGCATGTCTTGTCAAACTTCTAGTGATATTATTCCTATTTTCTATCTAACATTCTATTCAGGCAAAAGAATATGGTACCATTAAGTTCATCAATATCTTTCGACCTCTTCCCACTACCACAGTTTATATTTCGTAGAGAGGAAAAAAAACCGAAGCCAAAACCTTTAATTGAAGTAAAAATGATGCTATATGCACACATGGATGTAAGGCTCTAAGCTCATAGAGGAGAGCAAGTGCATGACAAGAACCACTGGTCTGACTTCCAATTCAATCATGTCATTGTTACAAAGAAAGAGTCAAGCAGTACACTAGCTGGTAAACTACTGGTATGTACCATCAAGAAATCTAAGTGTCTCTGGTTCAGCTTATTTTGAAGAATAGTTGCTTATTTTTTTACCATCTCAATGGGCGATTATTTATTCAAAAATATTGTTTCCAAGCATGCACTAAAATATATATTAAGTGCATTCACCATAGATTTTAAAAACATACTCTCATAATGCTCCTTGTACATGTCCACCAAACGAGTGCCGATTCCTTTTCTATAGTAATCCCAGTCTATGGGCTCAGGCTCCTGCAGAATGTAAAAGTGAAAAGGAAGGATTGAGTCATACTTTTCATTTTTTATCCTACAAAAAAAGATTAACTATGCAATCTCTGTTATATAAAATCATCAACAAGTCTCTAACCAATTAATTACGTGATCACCTTGAATTGCAGAGTTTTCATTCAAAACATGACGCAGAGGTGTTCCAAAATAAATTCACATAACAGGAACGTCATCGTTTATAAAAAAAATAAAATCGGAAAATCATTTCTAAAACAATTCCGAGGAAGAAGAAACACTAAGCGAGTGCATGGATTAGCTCATCGCAATCAAAACAGGTTATAATCATAATCGATAGCGGAATAAAACAGAAATTGACGTAAATCTGTTAGGAGCCCTAAAAGCCAACTGATCTAACATCTACGAATAACAAGGAGGGGAATCCGCATCCAAAATACAACAGGATCCAATGCAGAAGGAAAAGAGAGAGAGAGAGAGGGAGATCAGTGAAAGAAGCAACCTGGCTGAACTTGGTTTGGAGTTGGGAGTTAACCTCGTCGAAAGCGCGACGGAGATTCGAAAATTCTCTGCGAGCCTCGTCGGAGACGAGAAGCTTCGCCATTCCTTCCCAATCGATGTTCTTCCCCGCCTTGAAGGCCACATCGGTAACTTTCTTCACCGTTCCGCTCATTTTCCCTGCGATTTTCTCTTCTCCCAAACGCTATTCTGATGCTCTCTGCTCCCTTTCACTCTCATCTGGCTGCTATCATTTACCCTGCTTCAGCGTATGAGCCGGCTTCTATTGGGCCGGCCCATTTTCTCATGATGCAAATACTATGTTCGCATGTTATAAATGGGCCATCATTGTCTTGGGCTGTCGTTCCATTTGTTTTACAAAATAGATTATATATATATATTTTTAAGATAAGAGAGTTAATTTGAAAAAAACAAGAGGTCGATAAAAAAAGAAAGTTAATTGAACAAAAAAAGAGAGTTAATTATTGTGGTTCTGAGAGACACATAGAAAGTACCAGACAAACTAAAGAAGAAGACATATAGAAGGAAGGTGAATAACTAAAGGCAAAGATGATTGAAAAAAACTGAGTTTGACAAGAATGTTACTTTGAGTTATGAACTTTTGTTCTGACGAAAAAAAGAAAAGAAAAGAAAAGAAAAAGTTATGAACTTTTGTCGGGTAATGCAATGGAATCATATAATAAAATATTTAATATATGTTTCAGTCTAAAATTTAAAAAGTTATATGACTTATGAGGATATACATCATTGTTAATGTAAATGCCACTTATACTGTTATTTTTTATTATATAGTAATAGAATAACGTCATTTCATACACATTTTATAATTTGTTTATTTATTTATCTCTTTTAATCACATAATTATTTTATTTTATTCTCTCACTCTTTTTCTTTTTGTAAAAACATTTTATTTTTTTTGTGTGTGTGAGTGAAATTGTCCTAATGGATATTATCTAGAGGGCAAGGATTTTTGGATAGTGTGTGAAGACATAAGTAAATAATAATACTAAAGAATTTTCTGATGAAAAATAAAAATTAAGTTTATGAAGAAGAGAGTCAAGCTAAAAATATTGCTTTCAGTTGATGAGACCTTTTTCCCTAAAAGAAGTTAGAAGTTTCGCGATAGAGGTACAAGTTACTTTCATTCATTTTCATGACATAGGAATAACCAAACCAAAAATATGAATTACACTAATTCACTTTCAATCGTCCCACGTTTTTATATTGAATAATGTGAAATCCCTTCAACGGTAAGATATTCCCTCGTTAGTTTTCCACATATACATCGTAAACAATCACATCATAAGAACGAAGAACACTCGAAATTAATAAGCTTTTGTGATTTTCTCCACTTCATTTAATTTCTTGAGAAAAAGAAAACCCGTCAAGGAGGCAGAAACCCAAATTCCACAGCCAATTGTAGAGAGCCAAAAGGCATGTGAATACAATATATATATATATATACATATTCACTTCCCTCTAACATGTTCTTATTAGCTGCTTCCACCTTATCCCACCTTGTTAACTTATGCTAATGAAGTCTATTATTGATAGAGATTTGTATCATCAACTTAAATTAATTATTTCATAGCATATGATTCTCGTGCACTTTCCATGGCTTCAATTTTTGTTAGCTACGATACATTCACCCTAGCTAGCGATGTCAGACTGCCAATGCAATTTGATAATTAATTAGAATACTGCACGAGTTTTAGATATTTTATTAATTATGTAGGAATAATTAAGGTCGAATCACATTAAAAAAGAAAAGAAAGAAACAATGATGCTCAAGAAACATTAGTGAAATTTTATGTTATAGTCGTGTACATTAATGTAGAATATGCTACTAGGTATGCTTTATATATATATATGTTAATATGGGACTAAAGCACAAGGGAGATTATGACCCAATTTTGATAAATAAAATTTGTTTCATAAATTAAAACAACTTATCTCATTTAGTTTAAAAGAAATTAAATAATAATAGTTTCTAAAAAGTAGAAAAATACAAATTAATTTTAATTTATGAAAAAAATAAATTCATATTATTATGTACCTTTTTACTCTTTTAAATACTTAAATTGAAAAGTTTATTCAAAGTGAATTTATATCTTACACGATGTCTTGTGATCTTTTTCTTCATTCCCCAAATCCAGCTATTCAATGATACTTGCTGTTGTTTTCAGTTCTTGTACATAGTCATAAATTATCTTCAATATATGATATTTATATATTAGTTTTTTAACGTATATTTAAGAGTATATAGTAAAAATAATAAATTTTCATTAAAAAAAATATAAAACATTGCATAATATAATATATTAAAAATATTAAATGTTATAGTTTTGAATAATTTTTTATTTATTAATTTCGTATTATGTATCCTAACACACATTAAAAACTCATATATATAGATATAGACAATTAAAAGTCTAAGACATTTTCGAGTATAATTTAGAACACACTCCACATATAAGTTACCAACTCAAACAAGTAGCGATACAAGTCATACTTTTTTGACGGGTTAGAACTTAGAAAGTGGGAAGTAGTGGAGATACAACTAACTATGCGTACACAAACATATCACTTAAATATTAAGTATTAATTAAGCTCTTGAAGCCATTGGTCATAGCATGCATGTTACTTTGGGAAAGCTACATAATTTTACTCTATAGATAGAATCATTATTAGTCATCTGAAAGCTACAGATAAATTGCACTAAAATATCCCTTGTCCCAAATTCAAGGGTTTCACACAAAAGATCCATAAACAAAAGGGATGTGGATCGAGAAAGAAACCAAGACTAGAAGTCATGAAGGCTGCTAGATATTAATTAACGACATATATAGAAAAACCAAGCATTTCTAGTCAAGTTTTGCTAACTAATTAAAATTAATGGTCAATATTCATCTTTTCAGTTTCTAGTATGCTTACAAAGTTCATTTTCTAATCTTTAATTTGACGTTGGGAGTTCAGGCTGCCGTACTCATTAAGGGGGAAGCATTAGACCATTGCAGACACATATTAGGAGATGGACTTGGACAACTTGGAAGGATCCGAAATAATCATAACAAGACAATTATTCAAGGAATATGAATAGTTCAAAGTTCGATTGCGTGAATGGTTCTTTCTACGAAACTAATCATAGTTTAAGAACACTTGTCACGTCTCACAAGCAAGATATATACGAGCCAAGGGTTTATATTATATATGTAATATTTTGGATTGGTTGATCCACTGAATATGTATGAATTTACATTGATTCCATTCGTGTGAATTGCCTAGATAGGTCGAAGAAATTTCTGATGTTATCCACTTGTTATTCACCATTTTTGTTAATGTCATGAATGTGTGTTTAGTGATCAGTTTTTGTGGGAACCTTGTAATCATTAACTGGAAGAATCGTTATAGGACATGTATAAGATTCAAATTCAAGATGGAATGTATATCATCTTGGTTCATTGATCCTCAATTTTTTAAACTTTGCAGAGAACATGCTGAAACTTTATGTACAAATTAATTCCAGTCTATGTGTCTAGACTTTGAATTCTATCGCACATTATATTCAGCAAAACCTATGTACGTGTCTTTAGAATTATTTACATAAAGATGCAAGTCATTCACAAACAACAAATTAATTATAAGAGTAAGAGAAAAACTAGATTTGAAAAGAAGGACAAAGGGTGGCATTTTGAAAGATAAGATCAAAAACTTACATGCTAAGTGTTTGGGAAAAATTAGAGATTAAACCTACTTTAAATTAAAACATTTCGTAAATTTAACCTACTTGAAAAATTAGTCTCTAGTTAAGCACACACATTGGTGTTTAGTCTTTACTTGAGACATCGGTTCCTTAATCGTTTTAGTTTGATGAATTTAATTGCAGGTGAGAGGTATATACTGTGAGTAAAGAATACCCATACATTCGGATTGTTAGTTTAATTAGTTTTCAATTGGAAAGCCATAACTTGAAAGAATTTTTTGAGTATCTATGATGGCACTACGAAAATTCTGAGTATGACTGATTCATTGCTGATTTACTACAAGCCTTCTTAATAGTATGCAGAAACAGCCGAAATTATTACAGTGTACCAACAAATTACGGTAATTCGAAAACAACTCTATATATTGACTTTGAATTATATCATTTCAATTTTGGATTCATCAGCACAATTAAAGTTCTCGAAGAAACGGCGTATTTGAAGGTTTTTAAGCACACAAGGGATACGCTTATACTTGTCGCCTATACTATACTTTTCAAACACATGAAAATATATATTCTGAACATTTTTATCGTAAATCTATTTTGTTTAAATGGTTTAAAATATTGTTTACGATTTTTTATTTTTTATTTTTGTTATAGTCAATGACTTTTATGATATTTTGAATGAGTTACTAAATGATGTTTAGAAGAATAATAAATCATGAGTTGAAAAAAAAAAACAATAGAACCATATTTTCACTAAAAAAAAACCATTCTCTAATTGTTTGGTACTGCTATAGACCCATCTAATGAAAATTGAATTGTTAGTATAAATATTATAAATATATATTAATAGTATGATATATTAAAAAATATTATATTTTTATACTGGTAAAACTATATTAATAAAATGTATTATATATTTTAATTAGTTGAAAGCGTTGAAAATTAAAATTTCCTCTTGAGTTCAAGTTATCGGAGCAGTTACAAATTTATTAAATAAGTGGGCATTAGTGTCATAGTATCTGTAAGAGGACACTGATAAAATATACTTTATTTTAACTTTTATACATATTATAAATTTTTAAGATAAATAATAAAGTACATTTTCTTGAATGAATCTAAAATAAGAAATTGTCTTTAAAATTGTTTGTTTGAGTTGATTGTTACAAAAAATGTATTATAAAAAATGTTATTTATTAACAAGCAAAAATTATTAATATAATTTCTATTTAATAAAAAATAATTTATTAATATAAAATTTAATACTTATATGAAGAAATAGTGTATTATAGTATTATTTAATGCATGAACAATACATATTAATGATTTTATTAAAAATTATTTGTTAATATAATATATCATATTATTAATATAAAATAATAATTTTTATCCTAACATTTTATTTTTTAAATATTTATATTAATAATAAGCAATTTAATATTAAGTTATTACTAAATAACCTTTTTCTATAATAATCATTTTTACTAATTATTTCAAAAAAAATTATGTAAACTATTTAAATATTTCACATATACTATGAATGTTTTTTTTATTTTAAATAATGTAAATAAAAAGAAAAACATTTACAATAAAAAAATGTATAATTGAGTTAAATGAATAAGTAGAAAAATTATGCAGTTTAAATTTAGAGATGAAATACCATATTTTTTTTTTAAAAAAAAACATTAAATTGTGAATATAAATAATTGAATTATTGAGATGATTTTTTTAATATCAACTCGTCCCATACGGGTGAAAGAAACTCGACCCATCCCAAGACAGCTATAGAGAAAGCTAATTCAGATGACTACGGTCGCGTTTGAAATGTTCATTAGGTATTTTCGTATTCATACCTAATTTTCTACCCTTATAGACTAATTTTTCATGGAGAATTTGTATACAATATTGACCCTTTTATCTTATAATCATTAATTAACTTTAAAAACATATTTTCTTCACTAGTTACATCAGCCTCCAAATTTTTATTTTGATCAAAATTTGTAGGTACTATATTTTGAGCAAATGTTTTTATTTTCTATTTATAATAATGACAGCAATTTTTGCGGCCATGGATACATGAATGTAGCTAGCTAGTAAATAGAAAGTAAGTAATCATGGTGAAATATGTATAATTTTATTGTGTTTGACTACAACCTTTCAATTTCAATGTCACTTTGTTTGGTGGATATGTGATGAGATAGGGAGTACCCTCAATGGGCACATGGTTGTCAAACTCAAAACAATTTATTCCTTTTTAGCGTAAAATGTAAACAATGAGATGAGATAAAGCGTTAATGCTATTAGTTTGTGTTTCTCTTTTTCTCTCTTTTTTTTTTTCTTTCCTATGTCATGTAGATCATTGAGAGTTGCACGTGAGATGACAGAGGATGATATAAAACGACGCGAAAGAGTTTGCAACGCGTTTTTTTGGGCAAAGAGAAAAATCATAAAAAGGTTAAGGATGAAAATTGAGAGATTAAAAACAAAGCGCGTTTTACTTAACCATATGATTGTAATGTTTCATCTACCAAATCATTTTTAAAGCCCTCCGAATCAAAACAACTGTTCTCGCTCATGTAATTGAGTCATTGCTTAAGGTATATAGTTTAATTATTAAAAATAATCACAAAATTTTATCAACCTTAATTCAAATTAGATCTTGTGAAAACTGAAAACGTTGCGATCATAAATTTAACATCAAATTTGAAGTAAATTAGACATTCACCGGTGATCAGCAAAAAAGAAGAAGGTAGAAATATTGGTTGAAAAGGTCAATTCATCATTTTGCAGTGATTTAACCTGCCTATGATATGAAAAAAAAAGGTTTTGATGTGTATTCAATATATATTTTAGTTGATTGAAAGAGATTGACTGCTTTTGAAATTAAAATAAAAATAAAAATACTGAAATAGATTTTATCTATCTTAAAAAAACATTTTTTTGGGGGAATTAATGGGGTTAGACGAGTCGTTTTGCCTTAATTTTTTTTAATATGGGTCAACATAAAACAGGCTACTACTGGACAAAGTTAAAATAATGACGAAAAAATTAAATGACAAAATAAAATCTTTTTTATTTTAAAAATAAGTTTTCTATACCCTTTTTAGAAAAATATATAATTTTTTATACATTCTTTAGATTTTTTAAAAAAAGTTTAAACAAGTTGATAATAAGGTCAAATCATTTATCATTTACAAGTCTTCTCTTAATTCGCTACAACAAATAATTTAAGTATTGATAAATTTTTGAAAAGTTTATCACATAGAACCATTACCAAGTTATCTCAAGAGATTGAAATTTAAATTTGAACATAAAAATAAACTAAATGTGTAAATATAAGAAACTTGTATGTAATTAAATAAAAGTCTTAATTATGGATTAGCTATATGAAGAAATTAATATTATTTCAGACCTAACCTATAAAATAAGCCAATAATTTGGAAGGAAAAAAAACTCTAGAACTGATATGTGAAAAAGAAATAAAAGACAAAAAATATTGCTCTATTTAAGGATTTTAAGTAAAAAATTATTATTATTATTATTATTATTATTATTTTGAAGCAATTTGCGTTGTATAATGATGAACAACGAGAACTTTTAAAGGGCAAACGGGTGAACTGAAATTCTATATCACGAACAGCTGTATATCAGTAAAGTAAATATATTAGTATACTTATTAAAAGAATTCTCATTGTATTGTAGAACATATAATAAAAATTAATTTACCAATTTAAATCTAACAATGCAATCTACTTCATGTCGCATACGTTTTGTCCCTCTTCCTCTGCTTTCTCGTGGAGCCCTTAAAGAGCTTTTCCCATAAGTCTATATCAGTCGTGAGTATTCACTTTTAAAAAACAAAAAGTGACTAGTGGACAAGGTGGTACATTTTTAGCCATGCATAAATTAATTAAAAATGGTTTCTTTTCTTTTTACAACTTTTTTTATATAACTTTTTGTTTATTTTATTTTAAATAATATTTTAAAAATGTGTGTATATAAAGATTAAATAAATAAATAAAATTAATTATATATAATATTGAATAGTATTTTAGTTATTTATTATGCAAATGATAAATCTGTTAACTGTTTAACAAATGAATTAATTTAAACTAGTGGAACGATGTCAATGAAATAGAAGTAATATAAAACTTTGAAGAGGAAGATCATCTTGAAACAGCATGTTGTTTGTTCTTAATGTAACCCAACACACTCAATGAGTTATAGTACTTATTTACAGATCTTCTTAGGGGAAGAGGACAAAAACACACTAGAATCATGGTATGATATATAATGCTAAATTTTAATATGATTATATAAAATAGTAAACAAAAATGGAATGGAGCAACAAAATTTTACTGCTGTGAAATGGGAAAAATTACTGGGCCCGTTTTATTGGAATTCAAGCATGATTAAGCATGCAACTGGATTCGAGACTTTTGTCAATAGTTTAAATTTTGAATAAATTATATTTATTTTTTTATTTTCTGGATTCATTTATTTCTATTTTGAATAAATTATGTTTTGCCCACCTGATAGGGGCAATGCTTGTACATAGCTTTGACGATGAAAATGTAAGATATGATTGAATGCAAATTTTTAAAAATGAACACGATTTTGAAAAACTTTACTAGAATTATGTGAAACTCTTAAAATGGTTAACTTCAAATAGGTGTTGGGGACTCTTAACGGTGCTATGGTATTGGAGGCAGAAAGCTAAATTTGTAGTTTGGATGTTAATAGATTTAGATAGCTAGGGAAGGCACTTCAATATTGTCCACGGTTGGTTTGACAAGAAAGGCTTAAAATTTCATTTTTCAATTAGAAAAAGAAAAGGAAAAAGAAAAAGAAAAATTAGGGGGCCCAAATAGTTGCAGCTCTGTTTATGCTGACTCAAACTAAAACAGCTATCCCTTGTTCATTTTCTTCTTCTATCACACTTTTCTATCTTGAGTCATTATATTAGAGAAGACCGCCATCAATTATGTTTTTCTTCTATGCTTTCGTATTTTTCTTTTTTCATTGTCAAAGGTTTGGCTTATGAAATGACTAATGAAGTAGGAAACAGCATGACCCATATCTACCATACAACTAATTAATGACTTTATTGAAATTCCCTCAGTATGATTTTCATTATCTCATCCTCCACTTGGAGGTTGAAAGTTTAACAGTTACTATAGAACAAATTAATCTCTCTCTAATAGAAATATTCTAAGATACATCATAATTCATGTCCAAAGTGGCTCCCAAGCCGAGCCAAAACTGTTGTCCTCTAAGAAGCAGCTCATATCAACGTGAGGTTGAGGCTGAGGCATGTGCTGATCCTGTGATTGACTCATTTCCATGCAAATTAGTGCCACTAAATTAGCTTGTTGGCACTGCATGTTGACTAGCTCAGCCTGTGCTTTAGCCAGCTGTGCTTGTAGCTCGCTAACTTGCTTCTGAAGTTGACATATTGCACCTGCACAACCATAAACTGGGTCTCTGATCCTAGCATTTGCTTCATAAACCATGCTGCTCACAGCATCTGCTCTCTGAGATTCTGGCAATTCCTGAAAATTAATGCAATTTCATTCTTTGTTAACCACAAATTGAGTTCTTGGTAATTAGAATTGGAGTAATTAAGAAAATTGGTGCTATGCTGGTGTTTAATGTCCCTCTGGCCAAAATTAGTAGACATAGTGAACAGATTCCAAATGTGGGCACCTAAAATTTTGACCTGTTAAGCCAAACTATGGTTGTTACAAGGGGGAGCACCAAGAAAGAAAAGGTAAAACAAGAAGTGTGCAAAATGTTATTTGACCTGGCCATTCTTCTTTCTATAAAGATTAAAAAAGTAGTGGTTGCTAGGGTTGAAAGCAGAGAGAATTATGCATAGCTTTGATGTGTTAGGAAGTTAGAAAACAACCCATCATGCCCATCAATTAGGTATGCCCTTTGCTAGCTTTTCCTTCCACTTTTGACCAAAACCCATGATTTTGTTTCTCTGAAATGATCAGAGACAACTTAACTAATTCTTTTGTTGTCTTCCAGTAAGTGTGAACTAGTCTAGTCGTACACAATATAATAACATAACAACAATTAATAACAATTGATCAATGTATGTTACCTGCAAAAATTTGATGATGTTGCTTGCACCAAAGACTCTATGGGCAATGGTGAACTTGAGTGGATCAGTGGGAGGAAAATAAGGAGCCAAGACACACTTTTCCACACACCTGCGGCGAAGGATCTTGCAAGCAGCACAAGGGCTAACCACCACTGGTGGTGGTGGAGGAGGAGGGGAGGGTGGAGCAGCAGAAGGAGAACCCTGAGAGGGTGAAGGGAAAGGTGTTGGAGAATGTGAAGGAGGGGAAGAAGATGAAGATGGAGGAGAGTTTGAGAGCATAGTGGGAACATGGATTGGGATTGGTGGAGAAGATGTTGTGGTTTTCACTTTGTATTCCATTGTGTTTTGTGAGAGACAGAGGAAAACAGAACCAATTGGATCAAATATTCAATAGGATTTTTTTGGATTTCTAACTTCGGATAAAAACTAGGGGGGGCGTTTGCCTATATATAGAGACCAAAGGGAAAGCATGTTGGGTCAGAGTGGGTGACGTCAGTATACGTATTTAAGAAGCAAATATGACAATGTATCTGTATAAAATGACCAACTTAGAAAAAGGGCTTCCATTATTATAACGTTTAACTGAGATGTTAAATTTATATTTTAATTCAATGCCGAATTAATTCAAAATTATTATAATAATAATTATTATTTTGTGAAAAATTATATAACAGCGTGTAAAAAGGTTGTTAGAACAATTTTGACTTTTTAACATTTTTTCATTTACTTTATATTTGTTATCTTTTTTTTCCATCACATTAGTCATATCATTTCTTTCTATTTTATATTTTTTTAAGGGTGTGAAAAACTATTTTTGTTTTGAGACTGGTGAGATGGGGTTAATCATTACACAGTCAAGCAACGGTCAACGAATTTACCATGTGGTTCAGTTTTTGTGTACGGAGGGGAGTGGTAATTGGGAGAAAGGAAACATATTTTTTTAGTGTGTAGTTTTTTTAACTAAGTTGATTTACCATTAAGGATCATTATTTAGTATTTTACAGAAGAATAATAATACAGCATGAAACTAGAATTTGGGGTATGAAATTACATTAGCGGATAATTATCCGTTGTTTTCTTTTGACGCCGATATGTGAGAATAATGTTTATAACGTGAAATTACCCAAAACATGAATGTGTGATTCAATTTGGAGAAAAGAAATCTGAAAGATTTTAAAAAACCATTATTTCTCTCAAATTATAATTATTTCCATTGCTCCGATTAACCACAACAAGGGATTTATGTCATCTAAAAATGGCAGCGATTCTTTTAGAAATTGATCAGCTTAGCATTTGGAAGATTGAATAGATTAAGATGACATATGTATCAGTAATGATTTATAGTTAGATGTTATGATTATGCTTATTTGAACAATAATCACAGTAGCGACGTAAAACAATGACGGTAATAATTATGAAGTGGCGATAATAATAGCAAAGCACTAATAGTGACAACTGAACTGTCAAAGAAGGTGAAAATGAAAACTTTTTCCGATATGATGGCGATGACTTGCTAAGGATAGTTAATATCGATGGGCAAGTCTACAATAACCATTGTAAAACGTCGGCATTCAAGTTTTCGATGTCAAAAGAGTGTGGTGATGCAATGATGCAGCTTATATATATAAATAACGATGGGAACATGGATGCATGGTAGCAAATGTTTGAGCAAAAGGTAAACCGAAAATTTGGTGAGGAAAATATGATTTTTTTTTTAAAATTTAACTTTTTTTTAATAAAATTACAGTTTTAAGAGGCCATTCAAAGTCTGTATTATCACGCATACAAAGGTTCTTGTGTTACTTGTGTTGATGTGTTATACAAATTTAAATCACTCCCCCTCCTTATAATAAATTGGTTACTCTCGGATATAGACGAGGAATGCATGCTTAAAGAACTATGAAGCTAAGAATTTTAGTTTAAGAAAATGCAGAGAAATTTTGGGTTTGATTTGATTTAGTTTTGATTTTTAGTTTTTAAAAATTGTTTTAAAATTATTTTTAAGAAAAAAATAAAATAACATTTGTTTAGTAGTTTAGTCTTTAAATTTAAATTCAAATCAAAATTAACGATAGTGTAAAAGGAATTTAAGATGAAAAAATAAAATAAATACTTATATCTTAATTTGTAAGTCTTTCACCATTTTTCCGAAATGATTTATCTAAGGTGCGTGCGAACTCTAAATCTAAAACTTTTAGGGAATGTTTGATTTCTGTTTTAGAAAAAGTTTTTAATTTTTTTAAAATATAATATAAATTTATACTATATTTAAAAAAAATAGAAAATTCTTTTTAAAAGAAAAATCAAACATACTCTTAGTATTTAATTTTTTTTAATTTACAAAATTGTCATGAGCTGTATTTTTAAAATTTCAGAGAGAAAAATAAAAATATCTTAAAAAATATTTTAATTTTTAATTTTAAAAATAAAAATATTTTAAAAAAATTATATTTAAAAAGAGTAAACAAACATGCCTAATTTTTTTTTTTCAAAAGGGTTATGATATATTTTTTCTTGCTTTAAGGTCCAGTTACCATGTACTGTATCCCATGCATATACAAAACTAATTTGTCGTTAAAAAGTTCTCATTAGAGAAAAATTATCGAGTGTTAAATAGTCTTTATTGATATAATTTTTGTTAACTAACAAACAATTTTGTATATATATATATATATATATGATAATGTATCAAAGTATTAATATAATACATAATTTGTTAATATAAATCTTCAAAATTTATACTGATAATTTTTTTAGACAAAGACTATATTTACAAAACTTATCTTAACATTTAATAATTTGTATATTAATAAATAATAATTTTTTATAATGTGTCCTTTTATGTTGATGTTCTAAACTTACATGCTTGAATATACATTTTTTTATTTTAATTATCAAATTAATCTTTAATTTAAGACGTTATTATATATCTTGATCTTTTAAAAGTTTGTTCTCATATTAGTTTCTTAAAAATTATTTTGTATTATCTCTTTCTTTTTTATAAAAATAAATATGATTAGATATTAAATTAATTATAATGATATTTTTGTAGGATTAATCATTATATATATATATATATATATATATATATATATATAGTTTATGATAGTAGTAGCACAATATTATATTATTAGCTTACGCTAATTACATTTATATTAGTAATTTAATTTTATTAACTAAAATTTATATCAACAAGGTCAATCTAATTATTACTGATATTATTTATGTTTTCTGAAACTTAAGGGTATACTAAACATATAAATAAAAGGGCATTTGAGTTCATTATAATTAATTTTTATTAATCATAAAAATGTTAAAACAATATTTTTATGAATAATATTTTTTTAAAATTTTAAATAATTTAAAAAATAAGTATTTTAATTTTTAAAAATATTTAAAATAATGTGTCATTAATATTTTTTAAATATTAATTTTATTTAATAAAAAATATGCGTTAAATAATTTGTGCTGACTTTATATTAATGAAATCAATAATAAATAGTTCAACTAATAATTTTCTTTTAAAAATGACTGTCCAAAATTATATTTCTAGAATTATTCTCCTTTTGATTTGTTATGTTCAAACAGCTTTTCTCCTTAAAAAAAAAGAACAACAACTTTTCTCCTACTTGCACATGTTCGTATAAGTTGTTGGGTAATAATCTGATTTTACAAGAATAAGATTATATTATTTTTAGATAATAAGCACAAAATATAAAGTTCTGTGGACCATTCACTTCTTTGTCATCTATGCATGATAGGGGAAATCAAAACTTCTAGTATGACTTTTTATTCTACTTGTCCTGAAAAAAAAAAAAAAGTAGAAGAACAATATTTATAAGACAATATTATAAATTGAAATTATATAAAATAATAAAATTCAGAATTTAAAATGACATAACGCATGCTCTCTTCAAAATTTTGTGGCCGACGACAAAACTTGAATATTGGATGTCTTCCCAACATGTTGACTGATGACAAGGATAAATAACGAGTCATATGAATTATGTTAAGGATACTTTTAAAAATTAATAAATATTTTTTATTAAAGAATTGTGTTAAATATATTAAAAATTATAATAAATTTTAAAGAAAAAATAATTTTATTTTTTAATTAAAGCTTTAAAACAATAGTTAGTAGTAGGACATGAAAATTCTTAATTCTTTTCAAATTAGTTCAATTCGGCTTACTATTATTGAACGAAATTAACTTCAAAAAACCAATGCCATAGTTTGTTTTTTTTTTTTTTTCATTTCGTGCAGTGGTCCACAATTTAAAATAATTGATATTTATTTTAAAAATAGTAATTTTCTTAAGAAGATTTAAAAAAAAAACGATTCACGTGGATGCCTAAAGAACAGTATAGAAAAGAAAAAAAGAAAAAGAAAAAAAAAGAATTCCGACATGCAGAGCCCTACTACATCCACGAAAATAGAAGTGGTGAAGTTCCCGAGGAGGAAAGTTCCATTCTTGTGGAGACAAGGCAATGGGAAACAATTGGCCACCCGATCATCACTTTTTATTACTAAAATAAAAATTCATGGTCATGCGTATGTACAATTTTTTTTTTACAGTGTATATCTAAAGATAAAAAAAATTTCACATTAATATAAGTTTAAAATTTTTATATTTAATTTATATTTAACATATTATAATTTATTATTTCATTATCTATTAAATATAAATTAAATAAAAAATTTAATTTAAGTGTAAAAATTTTTAGATTCATACTATTATAAAAAGATTATTCTTTTATATATATATATATATATATATATAATATAAGTAGTGAAAAATTGTTATTTTTATAAGGAGAAGATTTTTAAACACAATATTAAAATGATCTTTAATCTCAGTTAGTTACGTATAATTTTTATAAATAATTCATTAGATTATATATAAAGTACTAAAGTTTTAAATATAGGTAGATTCGATCAATTAATGTTCGCATCCGAATAAATTGAAGCTTCATAAAAGATTAGTGAGATGTCACTTTTCTTTGGTTTATTTTGTTTCTTCCCTCCCTTATAAATGTAACAACGTTGAGATCATATGACCCTGAAAATCATATATTTGGTATGTGTTTTTTGGCTTTATCTATATTTGGCATATCAAATAAAATCTTTTTCAATTAAGAATCTTATAATAGTGTGAAAATAACAGCCTGCCGACATAGCAATTTCCTTCCCTCCCAATATCACACGCCAAATTCAAAGGGAATTGCAAATTAACAGCACGTAATTGCAAAGAATCTTATAAATACAAATGTTTTTCATCTGGGCATTTTTCATAAGAGATAATAATGCTATCATGAGTCCCTTCCATAAATACAAATAAA